AACAATTTTTAGTGGTGCCAATAGTCTTTTATTATTTAGTTATATTTCACAAAAATATAAAAAAAAAAATTTTTTTTCAGTTGTGTAGTCCTTTAATAATTGTACTCAACCCAAAAAACAGTTGAAATTATCGGAAGTAGGAAAAACTGTAAAAAATCTTAATCAAACAGAATTTGATAAGGCTAACCTAGAACTCATTATAAATACTGTGTCACCTTTTTCTTTGATTGAGCACCCCGCATTTATAAAATATTGTCACTTAACATCGAATAAAGTTCCTATGTCCAGAAGAAGTTTGATGAGAAATGTAAGCTTATTGTTCAATGATATGATTCAACAACTGAAGACTGAACTAGAAAAAATTGAATATGCTTGCATTACTGCAGATTGTTGTAGTATTTTTCACAGGTAAGATATTATTTTTAAATTATCAAAAAACTAAATTTTTTATTGTTATTTAATAATAATATTAAACCTATGTTTACAAAATAAATTTATTGTAGATCGTATATGGGTTTTACAATTCATTGGCTGAACCCGATTACATTGGAACGTAATTCTCGCGCCCTAGCTTGTAGGCGTATGTTAGGGAGGCATACATACGATAATATAGCAGAAATAATTGAAAAAGTTCTTACAGAGTTTGACATACAGTCTAAAACCACTCTAATTGTCACAGCTAACGCAGCAAATTTTGTTAAAGCTTTCAAGTAAGACATATATTTTAGAATGACTTATTTGTATTAGTTATAAATGTTATGATTTATAATAATTTGTTTTAACGAATTCATTAAGCTATGATCGTACACCAACTTTTTTAATTTTATTTAAAATTCTAATTTATATACAGTTCTGATAATCAGATTTTGTTTTTATCTTTTTCAACAGTATAAAAAATAATAGAATTAATTAATCTCAAAACGCTGGTATACGATCATAATTTGTTTTTGCTTTTTATAATAATGATATACTAATTGTATATATTTATATATTGTAATTTTTTGTAATGGTTATTCATTTTATTTTTATAAATACAATTTGTTGGCGCTACTAGCGTTCAGTGCTAATATAAATAATAAAAATATATAACACTGATTGCGCTTTCACACTATGAAATAGTAATAATGAATAAAATACGTATGTGCGTGATCTGACTATAATTAATAA